TCCTATTTCTTAATTCTTCCCTCACACGTCGGCTAATAGTTTACTAAAGATGCTTGCCGCTTGCATTAATCCATTAATCTCAGAATCCTTGAGATTAGAACCAACTTTTTCCAAACCAATTTTCAGTTCCTCAAGAGTGATATGCCCACTATTATCTGCATCTATCATCTTAAACATTTCTTTCAGGCCTGCAATTTCCTCTTCTGATAGACTATCAGCAATGACCTATATAAAAAAATACAATTTTTGATAAGAAATACATATACTTTATATATTTATATAAAAAGATGCAATTTCCCCTCAAAAACTAAATTACAGCTCGTTGCAGAAACTGCATGAATGAATGCATTAAGCATCTAATCTGATAAAGATTCTTACTCTTTATCATTACAGAGTTGCTTAATCCATTCAACATGTATCATTCATGCATGTTATTGGGGAAGAACGCAACTCGATTTGAAAAATCTTTCATAATTACTATGAACTTCAGATAGTTAACATGAATCAGGGTACCAACTCTGATGGCAATTTTCTTCAGCTTGTTCATTGCAGAAAATTGCTTCAAACGGGACAGGACAGCAGAATCGAGAGGTATATCTGGAGCAATACCATCCTCCTGAACCCAAGGGTGACCTTCAAAGAAACAGGAAGGTAAATAATCTGTTTACGGTAAAGAGACACTTAATGCAATAAGTCTGTCTTGAATTGTTTTGAACAATGATAAATGCTTTCACGTAGACAAAATAATTGGTACTAGTATGATAAATTTTGGGTTTTGTTTGAAAATATAAAGCATGTAATAAATGCAAGTGTTTAAAGTCCTTGGCTGATGTTGCAGAAAGGAAACACCAATCGAAATATGAATGGCAATTCTTCTTCTTAAGTAACTGAAATGAAATCCTCTACTGTCATCCAAATTTCATGCGTTTCAGAATAGATTTAATACCTGTTATCACAGGGTTGTTCACTCAAAGAAGAAATGTAAACCTATGTTTCTCTTTTTCATTTTCTTGAAGTACCTGTGTACGACGCCTGTGACGATGCATATCTGGACATAGAAGATATGTCCTTCCAGCTTGTGGTTAATAGAACAGAATAATGTAAATCATACAGCATTACTCTTTTTTTCATTCTCCTGCAATATTATGTCATAATCTAAAACTGCAAATAATGTTGTTCAACTTGAACTTCTAAAGATAAACTGGACAAATTATTTCTTGTCTAAGCAAAACTTATAAGGCACCAGTATCTAAGATGCTCCATCTAGGTGGTTCTTAAATGGTCATTCACTAAATGAACAATTATTGTTCCATTTTTAGCCAAATCAAAGCTTGTTTCTGAAAAGTATATCCAATGTATGTCTCCACTATGTGATGCTGCAAAGGATTCAGTTGTAATAGACAGAACAGCATCAAGGCTTTCCAGATATAATAATATTCAAGTTGACTATCTGTGCTTAAAAAACAGAATGACCAGAGAGGAAGATCTATGCATACTCACGAAGACATTCATAGGCTGTCAGCCGCTTTTTAGGGTCCTTTACAAGCATTCGTTTAACCAAGTCCTTTTCACTGTTAGAGATACTAGGCCATGGCTCTGTGGTAAAGTCAGGTTGACCTCTCAAAACCTGGTTAAATACCCCTTGCTCTGTTTCTGATAAAAAAAAATATATATATTAATATATCACAACGGTGCCAATAAATGAGACGTAATTCAACCGTGCCTGGAAGCATTTACCGATGCATGAACCACAAGCAGCAAAACACTCACCATCCCAGAATGGGGGAACTCCACAAAGTAAAATATAAATGATCACCCCAGCACTCCAAACATCACATTCTGGACCATAGTGCTTCAGCAACACTTCTGGAGCCACATAATAGGGACTTCCAACCACCTCATTGAATATTTGGCCTAAAGGAAAAGGGATTAGGTACCAGACAATAGAGTAGATTGACACAATAATTTTTGAGGAAATCGATTATAAAGATGACTGGCTCCATGTAAATGAAGCAAATGATGAGGCTGTGAACTGTCTAAACATGACCACAGTCTAAAGGTGAGAAATGGTTATACTGCCATGTGTTGAACTAATCTATACAATTACTTCCACATAATATCGCAATACCTGGCTTGAAAAACATTGAAAGTCCAAAGTCTATTGTTTTAAGTGGTGCCTCCTCTTCCTTGTTAACAAATAGGAAATTTTCAGGCTTGAGGTCGCGATGCATAACACCAAGAGAATGACATGCTTGCACAACGCCAATCATTATCCTAGCAAGTGCAGCCTCCTTTCTCTCAGTATAATGCCCTCTCTGAATAATTCTATCAAAAAGCTCCCCACCAGCACAAAGCTCCATAACAGCCACAGCATCTTCATAAGCACCTATGATTTGTATCACGTTTGGGTGACCTGCTAGATGGTGCATTATATGAATTTCCCTTCTAAAATCATCCAGATCGGTGCTTGAGGTCAGCTTCCTCTTGGCAATGGATTTGCCGGCAAACTCTTTCCCGGTGCCCTTCTCCATACATAAATATGTCTTTCCTAATTGTCCTTGCCCTAACTTACGCCCCAAGCTATATAACTCTTTCATATTCCCAGTTTTCCTTCCTAGCACTGACTCGAGTTGCATGGTTGACAACCTTTTCATTTGTTTTGGCTTGTGGTTTCGGCTTACTTTGTTCATCCTTCTTGGATTCCTCAACCGGGATATTAACCGCATTTCCTTCACCGGTTTTGTTGCTATTATCGTCTGTAGCCGCCAGCAACGGGTCCTCGATAGCCGGCCTTTTCCGCCATACCGCCTGTGTGACAGATTGAAAAAATCCATTCGCACAACCAACATTACTTGGTCCTCCTACACAAGCGTTCCCCATCAAAATTTCCCCAAATCCTTGTACTTATCAACCCCCACTTTTGAACTCCAACATCAAAAATGGGTCCCTGATAATTCCATTAAAGAACAAACAAAAATCGAATAAGATAAAAGGCGTAGAACAAACCCCCAAAGTCCAGCGTTTCTTCTGGTCCAAACAACATTTTCTAGAAAAACCGACAAAATGCATGCACCCACCAATCCAAACTAATAGATCCCATCCCAGATCCTGATTTCCGTCTTCAATCCAATGGGAAACAAAGCTTTTGAATTTGTTCAACATTTGTAATTAAAATTCCTAACACGAAAATTTGATGAATTTGCTTTGAGTTTCGTCTCTTTTCAAACAAAATGCAGGTGACCTCCACATCCAGGTTATTTGATGAAGAAACAGAAAAATAAAACGATGGCTGAAATTTCATAAATACATTTTAAAAAGAACATATTATTACAATTTCTAATTATTGTAATTAGCATTTAAAAAAGGGTGTTTTTCACTTTCCATGGATTGGGTTACAGTGGTTACTAACTGGTTTTATTGCATGCATTACATGGATTAGTTTCTAGGATTCACACGTCATCATATGCCGCTTTATAATTAGACATCAATTTTTGGAAAAACTATACTATTAACCACCTAACTATTTCCTGTTTTCACTTTAACTACCGATCTTCCAATTTTATCAATCAGGTCACCTAACTATTTAGATACATTCAATCAAGTCACCTGGCATTAACATTTGACGGAAGTGCTGACATGACAACAATAAAATTAGTATAGTTACACATTTGACCCTCAATACCTATATATTCTATCAATTTAGTCATGATTTTAATTTAACTCAATAAATTTAATCTAATAATCTAATAGTGACACGAGTGGCAATTTTATTAAATATTTTTTTATAATTTAATATATTAATAATTATTTTTTCCAACCAGATAGTGACACTTGTCACTATCTATTAGAGGATTAAATTAAAATCATGAATAAATTGATAGAATATATAAGTATTGAGAATCAAATGTGTATATCAATTTATTAACTATCATGTCAGTATTCCTGTCAGAGGATAATAGTTAGGTGATCAATGATATAATTTACCCTTTTTTATATCATTGGAAGATTCATTCAAGAACACCAATTACAAACATAACAAGAAAGCGTAACTCAACAATAACAAAAAACAGTCGAGTCCAAAGAGTTCAAACAAGAATCCTAGACCAATCTGATATCTAAAAAGAACTTGAACCAAGCTAGACACAGAACAAGTGGGGTGTCAAATTTCCATTACAACACGAGCACAGACACTGTGATTCGTGAAAACTAACCCCCAATAGAAAACCCTGACATAACATAAAAGAAAACAACATAATAACAACAATATCAAACATCACAACACATAAAAAAAACAACGATTAAGAGATCAAACCTAATGAGTATTATTAGTTTTGTTCTCTTTAGAGGTCTTAGGTTAGATATCAAACCTTCTTAAATCACAAATTAAGTATGTTAATTAAACGGGTGACAGCGACGATGCCCGTGTGTAAGGAACATACTCATCAATGCTCAACAAAAAGAAAGGAGAAAATGTATTATATGAACCATCACTAAGACTTTTTCCTTTCCCATAAGGGATTCTATCTTAGCATTTTGAACATTATCCCATGAATGCACAAGGATTTTATGAGGGAAAAAAAGAATCAAAAAGAAATTTTGAGGTAAAAAGTGAGAATAGATACAGTGAAATCAGTCGTTTATGTATTAATAAAAATATCTTAAAATAATATATAGTGAAATAAATGATTATTCTCTTAAATAAATGTATCTTAGTATTTTGAACATTATCCCATGAATGTACAAGGATTTTATGAAAAAAAAAAGAATCGAAAAGAAATTTTGAGGTAAAATCAGTCGTTTATGTATTAATATATGTATCTTGAACTAATATATAATGAAATACATGATTATTCTCTTAAATAAATAAAAAAAATGTAGAACTTGTTAAGATATGAGTAAACCCATGACATACGATTAACTTCATTCATCCATCATAATCCGTGATAAATCAATAAAATTTTCAAAACACCTCTTAATATTGGTAAGTGCGGCATAGAAGATAAATTATTCTTCATACTTGTATAGGTAATTTCATCAAATGTATCTATCCAAAGCAGGAGTATGAAATCCTCAAGTCAAATAACGTCGTCATTTACAGGAGGAAGATCAGTTGTTCAAAACCACTAAAAAATTTCAGTCTCTCCACTTCAAAGCAACTTCTCAGCTTCTTCTTCTTGCTCTACATTCTCCCCCTTTTCGCGATTTGCCCTAACGGTTCAATCTGTGGGAAAACCTAAATCTTTTCTCAATACCCCACGTTAATGTCCGGTTAGGGAACACCCATAATTTGTTTCTTCACTGAGGTAAGGCGTTGATTTGAATCTGATTTTTATATGATATCTAGTTGAATTTGTCACCTTTATATTTTGATCATGAATAGGAAACTGCGCATATTCTGTTCGATGAGCTGGTTTTGTTGTTGTTATTTCAGGTAAAGAAGTCGAGGTTGTTGTTCGAGAGGACTTCCTATTATGGCGAAGATAGCCGCGCGTGGCGCATCAACTACTGCTTCGCTACAAATCGGTGGGGACGCCCTCAAAGTTGGTCCAACAGTTAAAAGGAAGACCCCTTCGGAACTCAGAGTACTGGTTTTCTTTTCTGCACCTCTAACTTATACTAGCACAGTTGACTTTGTGGATTGACTATTTTGGTATTGATTGTTTGTTAGGAAGATGATTGAGGCCACTGTAAAAGTTTAGGGGAAAGAATGTTTTGATAATGCTATGGTGCTAGTATTATTTGCGATAAAATTATTATTAGATTCAGTCTCCTCTAGCATTTAGGGTTTTTTTAGTCTTTCTTAATTTTTCCAAATCGAAGCTCTAAGTGTGATATTTAATCTTTTCATCCTTCTCTGAACCTTTTTTTAGTTAAGACTGTACCTTAGTTATTATATATTTTGATCTAATGTTCTAACATGTTTATGTTATTACTTTATTACTTGGAGGAGCAGATTCTAATTGGACTAGTTTAGTTAATCTTTACTAGGAATTGTTGTTTAGTCTCATGCTTAATAAGAAGTGTTCACATAACAGGGGGAGCAGCTTAAGCAGACCAATGTGTCTGAGCTTCTTAATAAATCTTTGGCCACAAGGTAGGTGCTGTTAATTCTCTTCTGTTTACAATTTTTTTAATTAAGTTGCAAGTTTCTGAGAACTTTGTTCTTCTCCATTTGCTCGGTTAGTGAGATGGATAATTCATTCAAAAAGTCAGATCCACCAAGGAATCCTAGATATATTCACACCCGTATAGATGAAGTATTTCCTGCTAAGAAATCAAGGTTCAAACTGCTTTCAGGGAAAGAGAATGCCAAGGTTATTACATTCCCCATAAAATACTTTAATGGAATTATCTGGATGCAGCTAAAGTTTTTATACTCATAAGTTGGTCACTGGTTCATTGATTTGTTCATTTGTGTTATCATTTATCAGGAAAATAGTTCAATTGAGCTACCTATCAGCCTAAAGAAAATCTCTGCTCTTTCAAATTCAGTGGCTGTGAGAAGGCAACAAATTTCATGGTATATCTGTTAATCCTAGTATCCCATAATTGGCACATTATAAGTAGATTTTTTCTTTGATTTTATTGGTTATATGTTGTTTCTTTCAGTTCACAGAATTCTGTTGCTTCTGTTGATGTTCCCAATGGCCATAGAACACTTGAAAATTATAGTCAGGGTACATTTCTTAGTGTTGCTGAGCTTTCATCAGGGGGTCAAAATTTATCAGGCTTGGCAACTGTTGACATGGTATGTGCTTTTAGCAGCTTCAAGCTTTTATAACATAAATTATGTTTTTCCCCTAAATATGCCACCGATTTTTTGTAGGATAAAGCATTGAAAGGACTAGCTGTTTGTGAATCAATCCCAACTAGACCTCTCGAATCTTCTGAAAATTTTGGTGATCTTTCATCTGGAAACTTCTGCACTGAATTCCATGTGACTGGCCAGAAGATTCCTCTGGATTTTACTTTGAAAACTTATATGCGATTGGTGTCTTCATCCTCAGTGAATTGGTGAATAAACCTGTTGTTTTTCTTCATTTATTTTTTTTATATTTTTTCTACTTGGAGACAAGGTTGCTCCTGTGTTATGTTGCTATATATATATATTGTGTGTGTGTTATTTAACCATGTTAAAATTACCTCCTTGTTCATTTTTAAGTGCCTGTTTATTTTGTTTGTTTATGTAACTTCGTACTGTTTTTATAATTCCAGGTTAAATAGGTCAATGATGTGTGCTACTTACAATGGTATGCCTCAATTAACAACCAATTCTGATGCTTCAAATGATCAGAATATTATCAGTGCTTCACAGACCAGACTGGGTTCTCAAGTTTTGAACTCTAAAACATTACATTCATGGATTTATCCTCAATCTACCTTACCACCATCTCTCATGTCAATATTGATCTCAGCGGCAGTAGATGGAGGTTTGTTTATGGAACTTTTGATTTCAGTTCCCTTTCCTCATTTGTGCACCAACAAACACGCATGTCTGGAGTGTTCCTTACCCAACTTTCTCTTCCTATCAGAAGTTATCTATTTGACGTTTTCCCTTGTTCTCCAGTGGAAATGGATTTCTTAAGAAAGCGAATCGGAGCATGGGAGGAGTCATTTCGGAGTCTTTACTATATGTTTCGGCAAAATGTTTGTAGCCTATTTTATGGTACATGTTTTTTCATGGTTATGACTTTTTCATTGACACCTTTTCAAGCATGTGCCAATCTTCTTGGCATGAGAACGTCAAATTCTATTTCAGGCACATACAAATCTCCATAACTGCATGCCCAGTAGTGCTTGCATTTCTCTTGTTCATTTGTACTTTGCTTGTGTAACATTATCGGTAAATACCATGCAAATCTCATGCATGTGCTTACTCGAGGGGATAATATTTACTATGGGTTGCAGAATTTTATTTATTTACTTCTCTAAGAGAATACACAAACATCCTCTCTATATGTCAAGACCATAAATCTTCCTTGGTTTCATCCTTTATTTCAAGTTGTTTCTTCTTTTGATGACTGAATTCTTGGAGTGCTGTGCTCATTAGCATCGATTTGTTTAAAAGAAAAACTATCCTGATAATGATTTGTTGGAAACTTTGTAGTGCGCACTTCACATTTTGTGCTAATGTTTGCTTCTTTTGATGGTCCGGGAAGTAGAAGATCGTACCAAGCTTATATCTCCCAGTCAACCAGAGGTTTGAGGTCGTCTAAAAGAACATGTAAGATGCCATTCTTAACTAGTTAAGATATTGCATAGATTTTGTAATCATGATAACTGTTAAGTGGTGTTATCCCACATTTATTAACTATTGGGTTTCGTATGGTTTTAATTTATGTTAGGCCCCTCCACCTAATACCACTTAGTTTTAGGTTGGTTAACATGGTGTTATCCCACATTTACTAATTCTTGGATTTCTTTTGGTCTTATATTCAAGTTGAGCCTCTTGACATGCTATTAATTGGTTTACAATCATGTGGAAAACCATATTCAATGAAAAATGTTAAAAACATGGTTTCTTAGAGATTTTTTCTGTAAAGTTACCATGGTCATATGATAGTTAGTTTTAGGTGGCAAGGGTTTTCTTATATATAACGTGTTAGCATTTCCTTTATGAAAGTGATTATTCTAGTCTATAAATTCTTCATCCTAATGATACTCTAAACCAATTCACTAACCAAGTGAGTTTTGGTGCTGAGGTAGAGAACCTTTATGCTGCTTGGGTTACTGGTTTCATGCAGCTTTATAGATAAATTGGCAGACTCATTCAAAGCTAAAACATTATATTAAAGCAAGTTTTGCTAATGTCAGCACTGTAAAGAAGCTATTGCTGATTTCTGACTTTGCAAACATGTATGCAGCTCTGTTTATGTGGTTGCTAGTTCAGTGTATTGATTGCTTTAGTAAAACACACAGACACAAGTATCTGGTTTTAGTATTTCTGAAGACCGCAAACTGATATAAGCTGTTGCCAATCCAATCTTGTGACTGATATATGTGGAATCAGATACTGCCTCTGTCATCTATTTAGTACTTTTTCAGGAAGTTATCAATGTTGCAACAATCAGCAGATTAAATATATTTATCGACTCCTATGCTGGTATTTAATATAAGCCATTTTGACTTATTTTCATGCTTTATTGATACCTTATGTTGTGTTTCGTAGGATGTTTCTTTTTCAATGCCTCTTTGCCATTCTCAAGTAGAACAAGTGACTACCGAAGATCTCGTAGAGCTTTCAGAAATGGAGAAGCATAATTTGGGCCAGGTTTGTACATCTTTTTATGATAGTTTTCTTGATTTGTCTTTTGACTGACTTTATGCCTCTGGGTGGACCATGAGATGCCTTTTGAATGTTTTGATCCTAGTGTGCTTCTATTTCTCGTGTCTGCTTCGAATTTTGTTTTAGTTCCCCTTTTGAGGCCCGCATGCCACTGAGTTGTTATCCTTACTATCAAATTTAGGGTGTGTTTGTTTGCCGTAAAACCAATTACGGAATTGGTTTTCTCCGAAATCCCGTGTTTGTTTCATGTAATTCGTTTTTCGGAAAATGTTTTCCCGTGTTTGTTTCACGTAATTCGTTTTCCGGAAAATGTTTTCCCGTGTTTGTTTCACGTAATTCGTTTTCCGGAACGTAATTCATTTTCCTAGTAACAGAATTTCCTTTGTGTTTTCTGTAAAATGACTTACTGATTCATTTTCCGTAAGTCATTTTCCGAACTTTTCACTTCAAAGTAAAAATACTCAAAATAATTTTATTTTATGAATTTATAATGAAATATTTTAATATCATTTTCATCAAAATATTAATTATTAAAATATTTAAAATATATTTATTAATATTTATAATAATATAATATTATATTTTTAATATATAAAATCAATTATATTATAATAATATATATTATATTTTTATTTTAATATATATAATAATTTTTATATATTTAATAATGAATAATATTATTTATATTTAAATAATATTTAATAATAAATAAATTATTTTAATATTTTAAAATAATAATATTAAGTTTTATGATAATAATATTATTTATTATATTTATATTTGTAATAAATAATTTTTAAAAACTCTTCAATTAGTGGAAAAAAGGTTTAAATAACATCTTCCAAACATCATAAAACGTTTTCCAGATGTTTTCCAGAAATGTAATTCATTTTCCAGAATTCAAATTCCAGTAATTAATTTTCCAGTAATTCAAATTCCAGAAAACCAATTACAGCCAAACAAACAGACCCTTAAATCAGTATTATTCGAACTTGTGACAAAATTAAAACATAAATTTGGAAATATTTCCGGCTGCCACTGAACAATTTTAGAGGCTCATAACCTAAACATAGAGGTCCCGTGCTTTACTTAGTGATTGCATATATAAAAGTAGGGGTCCCATGTTACTATTATGATCCCTTTTCTCAATTTATGGTATTTTCACATTTCTTGTGCTCAATTCTTCATTGCACAAATTCTGCAGACTCGACACATGAATTCCTTCTCTGATGTTGATAATACTCCAGAGTCTTTGCTGGCTTTCAGTGGAAATCAGAATGTACATGGTTTGTATGAGATTTTGTTAAATTATAGGTGAGTTCCTTCTGTTTATAAATTTAAAAGACAATTCATTCAGTAAATTTAGTTATATGGTTTCAGGATTTCATTTGAGATGGTTGTAATAGATAGTACTTACCTATTATATGCAATGTCTCTTGCCTGACTTATTTTCCTTGTAACTGTCATTAGATCTTTCTTGACCTTTTTAAATGCTGTGGATGTGCCAGTATTATGGTCTCCTGTACCATTTCAACATGCATCTCTTTCTGCTCCAGAGGTGAGTGGTGTTGCCAGAAACAAGATCTGTTTCTTTCTTGCTTCCCTCACTGTACATTCTAATTGCTGCTAGGTTCTGTTTGACGTAACATCAATATTTTTGTTATAAGGATTGGCGGATTAGACTCGATCACATTATCTTTCCACTAGTTGCAATACCTGGTTTACATGTTTCTAACTTTCTATGTCAATTGAATTTTCAGGTTATATGCATGGAGATTAAAAGAGCTGATCATGGTACTGCTCTTCCCCAAGGATTCACCTTGAATGAAGGTCATTCCATGCCAATTTCATCTGCTGGCCTTTGTTACAGTGTTGAAATCAAAGATTCACATATTCCCCCTTGGATTATCAGCAACATGTGTGCTCTAATGGCATCTAAAGGACAAAGCTTTGAAGCAAGGCATATAATAAACCTTCTTTTCCTTGGATCAAATTATTGCTTTCTGTCAGATTTCTTAACCTGATTATAGGGCCATTTAGGTATCATTAATGGATCCTCATCTGTGAAGTTAATCTATAATTAAACCTTGTTGAACCATTTTAATTTTTGTCCTTAAATTAAGTTCCTAATGCAATTCCATTATTTGAATGGTTTAAGATGTTTAAAGACAAATGATAATGTAATATCTTGTCAAATCTCTCTTTCTAAAATCATCAGTCATGATAATGATATATATATGAGGTAAGATTCAGTTATGCTATATAAAACTCTTTAGATACTGATCTAGGATCATTGATGAATGTAAATCAATGACTGAGATTCACAGGTGAAAGTTGAGGAGATTTTTACAGGCAAAAGTAAAAAGGCGAATAATGTGAATGCACAAAGTTTTACTTTCAGTCATTGATTTACATTCATCCAATAATCCTAAATCATTGTAAAACTAACGAGTTTTATAGTGTAAGTGGATCATACCTCTATATATATTGATTAAAGGGAAAGATGGAAAACAAAAATTGATCCGATTACCTACATATTTGTCTGATTTTATGTGGTTGGTTTTCAGCTTTACAACGGAGCATACTTCAGTTGGCTTAAATATTGCTCTCGGGGTGGTTTCCCAGATAGCTGATAGTGATACCACAGTCAGTGAGGACTCGCAAGAAATAGCCAATGAATTCGGTATTCCTGAAACTATTATTTCTCCTCATTTACATTCAGGTCTCCTGAAGGGCTTGAGATATTGCAACGAGTCTTATACAGCTTCTCTCTCACCTGTATGACATTTCAGTACTCGTATTTTCGAGTAAACTATATTTTGTTGTCGATGCTTCGAGTAAACTATATTTTGTTGTCGATGCTTCGGTGTTCCCTGGTCTGATTTTGCTGATTACAATAGTGAAGTAACAGTTATTGGAGATAAGAAGAAATAGCCTGAACTCCGGGAACTTTGCTTTCGGGTTTACCAAAGGGTCTGAGCTACCGGAACAGGTTCATAAACGGCGACCTGCTCTATCTAACCTGTAATGACACTTTCATACGCAGGATATGTAGAGAAAACTACATTTCGTTACTGATGTTTCAGTTCCTTGATTGTAATTTGCACTTTTTATATTCTGATTTTGATTGACATAATTTATGAATTTGTTTGCCAAGAGAATCCTAAATCATTGCTATTAAGGGAGGAGATATGGGTGGGGCTGCTTGTCCCAGTTTGAAGGGCTCCAGCATATGTTTAACGCGAATAACCAAAATATATGTAGTAAAACTTCTATAAATTAATAATATCATGATTATATAATTTTATAAATTTAAAGAGGTTTTAATTAATCGATAGATTAATAATTTATTAATTTAAAGAGATTTTTTTTATTTAACGAATCTACATTATTCTTCATGAAAAAAACAAAATGGATGTCAATTACCTATTGGATTACTTGGATGAAAATGATACATGTTCAGAAGTCCAAAAGTTTAGAAGAAATTGTAGCTAGTGTTATTGAAAACCCTATTGAGGATGAAATTGAAAATGCTATAATGTCTTTACAACTAATTACGCAGAAGAAATCACTCATAACGGCAATAATTCTACAATAAATTTTTGTTGTAGTATGAGAACACATTACCGAAACTTTTGGATGCAGTAAAGAAAATTAGAGTTGAAATACAACTAGATTTAAATTTTAAGAAAAAACAAACAATAATAAAATCATATTTTATTAAGTTGTCTTAGTTGTATTTATAGTTTTATAAAAATTATTAATTTGTAATATTGAAGGGACCGTAAATTTGTATAAGGATCTTTCAGAAAATTATTATCTTATTAATTTATTGATATTATTAATTTATACCATAAGCCCAAGTCAAGACCGATAAAATTTATTATTTTAGAAAGATTATTATTTTATCAAGTATTAATTTATAGTGGTTATGCTGTAGTTTTAATTTGTTTTTTTTTTCAGAGGAATCGATTTTAACAATGTGCCTTGTGTGTTAAACATATTTTAAGTATCCTTTTGTTTTATTAGAGTTGTTTCTTACTAATTTTTTTTGTCAATTTTTTAAATTTAAATTTATTATTATTTAAAATTTATTAGTAATAAAAATGTGAAATTATATTTTAAAAATATTCCATTAAGTATATTTTAAATTTATATTTTATAAAATTTAATTATTAAAAATAATTATAGGTATAGTTTAAAAAACGGTCAACAATAATTAATTTTGATAAGATAGAAAAAGTACATACACTCATAGAATATATTATAAATAAATAAATAATTAATATAATAATATTAATAATACATAATAAGTACAAACCAACTTATCTTAGTGGACCGTTGTTAAAAGAATCGTTGTTATTCCTAGAGATCATGAGTTCAAACACCAGCAACTGCAAATGTGATTAAATGTTTATTATCAAATTGTTGAGAATATTCATAATATACACTACTTTATAATCACATTAATTTAATCAATATATATATATATATATATATATATATATATGATAATTTAATTATAAAATTTAAACCGCTTTAAATTAAGATATATTGCATTACAATAAAATAATAAAATAGACATTTTTGGTACAAAATAATTAAGTTAATTATGGGATAGATTTTTTTAATAGTTATAAGGTAATATCTGCATACACAGTTGCTCAAATTCATAATCTCTAAAAAGAATAAATTTCTCTTTAACCACTAAGACCACTTGATAGATTAATTATGAGAGAATTTGATTAAAAATAAAAATTAAATCAAATAAATAAATAAAATATAAACATCTGAACTATTAAAGTAAGCATTTTTTAAGGTAAGCTTGAATTGATTTTTGAAAATTTCTCTTAAAATGTGCAATAGAAATTAGTTTAGAAAAATTGATTTTATTGAGTTTAAGATTTTAATGTTTGAAATTGTAGTAAAAATATAATTTTGAAAATATAATAGATTTATTTTAAACATAATATTATAAATTAAAAACAAGTTATCTTAAATAATACTCAAATTCGGTAATATTATAATATATAAAATAAATCAATTTAAATTATAATAAATATATAAAAAAACTAATGGCAACTCATTATTAATATTTTGATATATAAAATATAAATTTTAAATATACATTATCAATTTAAATGAAAAATTAACCTTTAAATTATAAATTTTAAAATCATTATAATTTATTTAAATATTTGTAAATAATTAATATGTTTTAGACTATAAATTATACTAGCACAATATTTGGTCCCAACAATTTTTCAGTACTTAATTATACCCGCAATTCTTTTTTCAATTAAGAATAAATTGTTTGTAAAATTTAATTTGAATATATAAAATATATTTTTAGATATTAAAACTATATACGAACATAACAAATACATGTTCACAATAAATTTAAAATAAATTAAAAACAAATAATTATATACTCAATATAAATATTGTAAAAATATATTATTCTATATTCAATAAAAATCTTTAGATAATTATATATTAAAAATCTTTAAATAAATTTTTGATTAAACTAAAGGTGATTACAAAGTAGTATATATTCTAAGTACTCTCATCTATTTAACAATAAAAACTCAATCATTCTTGCAGTCGCTAGTATTCAAATCTGTGATCTTTAGGAAAAACGACTCTTCATTTCCTAACAAATACTTTATGAGAGTCGCATTAAATTAGAATCTTAAAATTGAAAAAATATCAAACACCACCTAAACATGTAACATATACATATACTTAGATAAAATTACTTTTTTTTGTTGTCCTCTCGATTCCAAGGTTTCGTCTTGATTAATATGAATCGACCCGAGTCGCATGATTTTGGTGGGTGACTTTCCCAACAAGAATTTACTGCATACACAAGAATTTAAACTCGAGACCTTGCTTAAGCGATATCAAGTTGCTTACCACTTAAACTAACCCTCGTTGGTACTGAGATAAAATTATTGATCATTGTATAATTCATTCGGGGCTACAAGGGTTTTAGCAAACCTATTGTATTATGGATAAAGTTTTTTAAGTAAATTACATATGTGACTATTTAATTATTCGTAGATTTTAATTTAACTATTATTTTTTTAATTTTGTTAATTAGATTATTTAATTATTTTAATGATGTCAATTAAATCATCAGCCGTTAACATTTGGGGGAAGAGCTGGCATTGTAGTTAATAAAATTGGTATAGTTATACATTTAAAACTTGTTATTTATACATTTTATTAATTTGATCTTAATGTTAATTTAATTTAATAAATTTATTCATCCAATCATGTAGGAACACATGTCACTAGTGACATATATTGCCATCTTATTTATAAACTTTATAAAAAAATCGTAATAATGAGATTTTTCTAATAATTTCTTCGTTATAAAAAAATTATACGATTATATGATATTTTTAGAACATTTCATATGATCCATAATATTTTTAGCTTTGTAAACTTCAAAAAATTCGTGTAAAATCTAGAAAGTTAAAATAATCTAAATAATAATAATGTTTTTTCTATTTAACAATTTGATATATATTTTTTAAAAAATTACGACATTTTTATTTTTTTTAGTTTTATAAAATTAATATATTATGTACCTCATTGACACATTCTAAAATTAAGGTGCAATAAACTACACATTTAGTACTTAAATTATTAATTTTGTTTAGTTTTAGTACTTAAACTTTTTTTTGTTTCAAAATCATTAATCACGTTTACTTTTTATTTCATTTTGGTACATCGCCGTTAAAAACTTAGCGAAGCTGTTACAACGCTTTCTCATGAGTAAATTACATTATTCATCACTCAACTATTTTTTCACTACTATTTTGGTCACTGAAGATCAATTTTTTTAATTTAATTACTTAACTTTCAAATTACTCCTACTTTAATCACTCTAACTTTCAAATTTAATTTTTTATTTTAAGTGTATATTAATAAAAAAAATGTCATGTCACAAAAAATATTAATAAAATAAATTAGAGTGATTAAAACATAAACAATTTGAAAGATGAGTAGTTAAATTTGAAAATTTTAAACTTTATTGACTAAAATAGGAGTGACAAGACAGTTAAATGATGAATGATGTAATTTACACGTAAAAATGTCACGTGCAATAGTTCCGTCGAGCTTTTAACAATGGGGTACTAAAATGAAACAAAAAGTAAATGTTAGGTATAATTTTGAAACAAATAAAAATTTAGGTACTAAAACAAAACAAAATTGATAGTTTAGGTAGTAAACATGTAGTTTATCCTGGATTTTTTTAACAGAAAAATTTGTTATAGTATGTATCAGGACTGAAATGTTAAAGAATGAAACTAAAACAAAATTCTTAAATACCAAGATAATAATGAGATACAACTTCAGATACCAAAATACATTTAACTATAAGAGAAACTAAAAAGATCCATCAATATAACCAGCATAAAACATTATCTTCACTGTTAAAATTGTTGTAAGCTAGTCAATAATACTCTTTCAAGAAAGCATGGAGGCAAGAATGACTTTCCACCAGTATAATGATACAAATGGCAATAGAAAGAGGTGTTGGGTGTGTTAACTTTTAATTGTTCTCCGATGGCCGGTCTCGCCAATGCCGACGAATGTGTCAGTTGAAAGAGAACTTGAAAGCACCAACCTTGGAATCAGTTACAGAATCCCAGAAAGAAGTTTTTTTCTGCTCTGCTTTCAGACTCAGTGCATCAATTGTTCCAGGGAAAGAAGCCTCTATTGCATTCTTAAACTTTTCATGCAAGTTTATTCTGTCTCTTGTTCCAGAAACAAGCTCACTAGCATTCGGCTTCTTAAGAAAATCGAGAACATTTAACAAGTTTCTTCTGCAATGTGAAGGGTAAAAAAAAAAATATATCAGTCACCTATTATTTTGCGCCAATATGCATGCCAACTTTTAAACTAAGACAGCAAAAAGAAGAGGGGAAGGTCCGTACAAAACATGTACTAATTCATACAAAACATATATGAATCAAATAAACATGGTATAGTCTCGCATATGATCACGGGGGAAGTCGTTGGTGAATTTTCCTGAGGATTAGGCTTGAATACAAGCATGTGATTAACTCTTGTACTTTAAAACTAATGATTATTGTATGATGAATGCAGATGCCTCATGCATCTGCTGCAGGTCCAAGTGGTAAGGCAAATCGTCAGACAGCCTTGCTAAGAACGAAACATCCGTGGTAGCATGTGTGTTTATTTCTAGCCAAGAAGCCAGAACAAGTAATAGTGGGCCTATGGGTACTGTAACGCATCAAGAACCGCATAAACGAAACTAATATTTTCTGTCTGAGGTTTTTGTTTCTATCAAAATATGCCTACACAGCAACTAAGAGTAAAACTTCAGTTTCTTCAAATGATAACTCAACCACTGCTCTACTGTATTTATGTACTTATCTACAACAGGCAAAGCTACCCTTCTCCATTTTAGATTTAATTGCTTGGATAAGGTATGGATTGTAGGCCGGAAAATTCTGAAGCTCGATTAAAATAATATAATATATCTATAAAAAACTCCACCTCTTCTCCATTTTAGCCACATGCATTCCTCTTTTTCTCTCTGAAGACATATTTTTCGTATAAAGCTGTCATACTGCAAAAGCTAAGAAGCCTAACTCTGCATCAACAACAATGTGCTACAAGATTTGCCTAGCAATCTTCCTCCATGTGACCCTCCCTTCCTAAGCTGTGTTTTTTTAGTGAGAAGAATCATTGATATCTGCAGTGGCGAGTCAGAAACATATTTTGCGTCAACACCCTGTCATATCAACATAGGCATGACATACTAAAGTGCAAATCCTCGTAACAGAGTTTAGAACCTATTCGACTTGCTATTTTGGATGCTGAGAAAATGCCAAATTATGATTAAGACTCTTTCTAGATTCTACAAGTATTTCTTCAGTTAGGGCATTAAATCCTAATGCAAGTCTATACATCCAATGAACTTCAAAAAAGTCTAAACAGGTCTGATTTTTTGCTATTAATATCAAAACAAAACTCAGAGACTAGTTGGACTTCCGAGAGTCTTCATAAACTGTGGAATAAACTAATGAATAAATAAAAGCAACTGAAAGGGGGAGGGTGCAATACCTGCTAACATAGTTCTGCGTAATGGCAACAGATTCTTCAAGGTTAATCACTAGATGCCACCATCCATTTGGAACAAAGATCACTTCTCCAGCCTTACAAATACACTCAATAGGTCTCTTTTTCCAATCCTTTGTTGCACCATAAAAGTTCATGAACCACTCAATTATCGAAACAGGACATGCCACTTCTGCTCCATCCGGGCTCGGGTGCACGCCTGGTGGAACCACATCAGGAGGGAATAAAACCCATTTCTTAGACCCTCTAATCACCGCATTCCAGGCAGATGTTGAATTAGGATCAATATGGAAGGATGAACCAGACCCGGCTGGTCCAATAATAATCCACCTATAATCTGGTCTCTCATTGCCCAAAACACTAAACAAATCCTCTCTGAAGTACACCGGAACTTCGTACTCTGAACCTAAGGTCGGATTTTTTTCCGCGAATTTAGGATCAAACAAGTACAATGGCCTCTCTTCTTTTACCTGGTCTGAATAACTAAAATAATCCTCTAGCCTCATCTTCACCGGTCCAACTGCAAACTGAGCATCCCCACATAAATCAACCAAATAATCTCTATCCCACTTTCCCAATGCATCCCAATTATCCATACAGCCTTCCAACAAAACCGGCTTATTGGGTTCTTCGAAGTCCGTCACAAAATCATCTACACTAATCCCTCTTTTTCGAATTATATTATCTCTTTCAAGCCATTCAGGTTTCATTTCAAGATTAGCACATAACCAACTCTGAAACAAATAGTCGGAATAGAAGTCCCTTACTCTCAAACCCGAAAAACGGCTACTCCTTGAAACATCAAATGAAGGATAAAATGTAGATATGTAAGTAACTTTCCATGATCGATTATACAAAAATCGTCCTTCTACATTATCCAATACAAGATTCCTCCAAAGGGGCTCATGGCTAGTGAAAACATAAAAAGATTTGCTAACAGTAGCTAACACACCTAAATGGGTTCCTTCCAAAAGGCCTAAAATTTCAAGAACAAGTTCATCAGACAGGATCTGGAGATTACCTAAGCCAGTGTTTCGAGAGTTTATTGAGCCTGGGTTGAAGTAAAGGTTTCCCAAAGGCTGAACACCATGAGAATGTGATGGAGCTGAGGATTTGAGGTTGAATCCTTCTTCTTCATTATGTTCAAGATTTGTGTTTGTAGCAATGGAATCTTGTTTTCTAGAGACATTTCTTTTTGTTTTCAGTTTGGTTTTGGTTTTGTTCTTGGTTTTTCTTTTGATGGTTCGAGACAGTAAGCTTCTGCTATAGCTTAGCATTGTTTAGGAATTCTGTTATACTTCGTAGGGCTTACCTTGGCTTTTGTTGGCCACATTATTAGGGTTCTGCAGTTTTGCTTTGAGATATCGACGTTCACTGCGGTTTTTCTAAAATAAGTAAACTACACATTTAGTCAACATACTTTCATCATATTTTCATTTTGGCCATCTAACTATAAAAAGTTATTTATATCATTGTTGGGTAAACTACTTCAATTACAACATGTGGAGTTGGTGTCGATATGACCACCATTTCCAAAATTTTATCAATATAATCACATAATTATTTAAATGGTATCATTTACGCCATATGACGTTAAAATTTAACAGAGGGATGATGTGACAGTTAACAAAATTTTGTATAAATATACATTTGATCCTCAATACTTATATATTCTATTAATTTAGCCTTAATTTAAATTTAATTTTATAAATTAACCCTTCAATGAGGAGGTACCTGATTGGAGGGTTTTTTCTTATTAATTTTAATTAATTTATTTAAATTTATTTTCTATCCAATCATATGGTGACACATGTCACCTTTAATTAGATAGAAAATAAACAAAAAGATAACTTACGTTTTGGAGGGATAAAACTTAGGTTCTTTAGGATGGAAATGGGGTGCTCAAGCAATTGAGCCAATTGATTCATTTCGTTTAGTGATTACAACAATATTTATTTATCTTATAATATTTTTAGTATATAAAAATAAAGAATTAAAAATATTCAAATGATATTTAACTTTCAATATTTTTATATTTTTAAACAAAACAAAATAAGTTTAATGTTTTATTTTTAAAACCAAATTCAATATTTTTATATATTTTAAAAAATATGGAATAAGTCATGTAATATAAAAATAAAAAATATTTTATATATTTAAAAAAATAAGATATATATTTTTAAAAATTATATTTAATACAAGATTTAAAAGTAAACATTATTTTTTAATTCTAAATCTTTATTTAAATTCAATTATTTAAAAAATATAAAAATATGAAACTTATTATGTTTAAATATATAGAAATATTTTTATTTTTATTATATGAATTTTTCCATAAAGTTTAAAAATATAAAATTATTGAATTTTATTTTAAATATAAATTATTAAACTTATTTTTCTTTATTTAAAAATATAGAAATATTGAAATTTAAATATCATTTAAATATTTTTATTTCTTTGTTTTTATATCATCAACAATATTATGAGATAAATAAATGTTAGTGTAATCACTAAACCAAATGAAACAGTTGGCTCAGTAGCTTGAGCACCCCATTTCCATCCTAGAGAACCCATGTTCTATCAGTGTTACTATATGATTGGATAGAAAATAAAATTAATTATATAAATTAAAATTAATAAAAAAACCTCCAATCAGGTGGTGACATGTAGCATTAACAACATGTGTCATGACCATGTATTGACACGTATCACCGTATCACCTCTTGGTTGAATGGTTAATTTATAAAATTAAATTTAAATTAATATTAAATTAATAAAATATATAAGTATTAAGGATCAAATGTGTTATTAATTTTTTTTGTTAACGGCCACGTTATCCCTCCATTATATTTTCACAACAAATAGCTTCAATGATAACACTTAAATAGTTATGTGGTCATATTAATAAAATTTTAAAAATTGTGGTCATATCGATATCAACCCCATAATTAGATGGTCATTGAAGTAGTTTACCCTTACATTTTTTATTGAATTCATTCTATTAGTCGATTGATGTTTTTTTTTTTTTAATTTGGAAGATAAATTTATTTTTTATTATTTCCGAAATGACATTTATTTTTTGTGCGTAAACTAAGAGTGAAATAAACATGAAACAATAATTATAATATTTGTAACACCCACGTACCGATGTGGGTGACCCGATCCGATCTGAGGTTTTACATTAGGATCATCGGAGCGACCCGCAATAAAAATCTCGAAAATTTTAAAATTTCTGTTAAAACATGTAAAATCATAAAATAATTTATAAATAATAAAAATTCAGAAAAATCATTAATATGTTATAAACATGATTAAAATCATACAGTTTCAGACTCTGATATACAAACAGAATACAACCTACATGCCCCCTAATCACATGCACCATACTCCACAAGCAACGCCAGAGGAACTCTTTTACTGATGTGAATAGTTGCACTGATACGATTCTTTTAACCTGAAATGATGAGTAAAAGAGTGAGCTTTGGAAAGCTCAATAATACAAAACTACCAAGTGATGCTGAAGGACATGTAAATAATAAGCAAACATAATAATTTCCTTATCTATTCAGACGTCTATAGGTTTTCAGGATGAGCTGAGGTTCCACTGATATTTCTTCGAGTAAAAGCCATGAAGATTTCAGTTCATAAAAATATTCAGAGTACCAAGTTTTCAGGAGATTGGAATCGGATGTCTAGTGTGTTCCAACCAAAACCAGTGAAAATTTACAGATATTTTAAAACAATAACAGTTCAAAACATATTTTTAAAACCATGGTAGAACCCTCCAACCAATCACCTTTATGCAGTTCCCCAGAACTGTATCCAGAAGGACTTATCCTAAGCACACAACAAAGGAGCCACCCTAAGGGAATGCCTTGGGGCCTATGGGCCTACCCAAGGGTCTCATTAGGTCTGTAAGGATTTACCAACTTGATCAAAGTTGAACCTCCATACTCCATAATCCTACCCTTACAATATCCAGTAGAAATCAAATTTAACAGTAAATAGTAATATTTGGATCGTGATCTAATAAAATCTCGTAAGTGTGCCAATGAAATAAACCATATAACTGCCATCCACCCGTACACCATATATAGTCCCATGATTTACCTAAAGGAGTGCCTTGGGGCCTGAGAGCCTACCCAAGAAAGTTTCTCGGGGCCTCGGAGCCTACCCTAGGGTCACCTTAGGTTTGTAAGGATTTACCAGCTTGATTAGAGCTGAACCTCCATACTCCAGCCTACCCAGATAATGTCCCAATAAAACAGTTCAAGTAGTAACTAGTGAATTCCATGATCCATAAATAAGGAATGATCATATTTTTCAATGAAAACAGGTAACCAGATAACACATTTAAGGTAACCATAATTCATAAACCAGTAGATTCCATGATTCATAAATCAGGAACGATCATATTTTACAATGAAAACAGGTAACCAGAGAACATATTTTAGGTAATCATAGCTCATAAACTAGTAAATCAATAAATCAATGATTTTAGAAAATCGTGTTTTAAAACAAGTAAAACATTTACATGTCACATAAGGAACACACTATAGGATCCAGATATTATTCGGAGATACTTGGTATTTATCAGGCAGGGGATCATGAAACTTTTGTAATTTAATAGGATTTCAAAATTAATATCCCTTTAAAAGGGGGTTTGATAGCTAACTGGTTCATTATTCATTCGGAAAGTGATTTATCAAGATCATACATTATTCAAATATTTTTCGTAGGCAATTGAGTATCATGAAGACATTCAGATTCTTTTACATAAGAATTATTGAAGATTTAGATAACATGAGTGTTTCCATTATTCAGGCAAATCATGGGCATTTTAGGCATTTGGTTCTTGGAGAATTCTTAGTAATTTAATATAATAAGAGAAGAGTGATGATTTGTGGTATTTAAGATTATATATTAAATTATTAGGACTTTGAGTCCAATTGAACCAACGATCCCAAAATGTTCGACGACTTGGGTCGTGCTCCATAACCTTTAGAGGTAGTACATCATTTAGGTTAATCGGTGTTCCCATAGTCTATCCAAATACATTCACTTGATCCAAGTCATAAATATATTTATATCATCTCGGTATTTGAGGTTATTTTAGTCATTCGGGGTCAGACTTATTAGTTATTTCAAAACTTGAGGATAATTCATTATTTAAATACTCAGTGCATGTCACACTTCAAGTAATCTAGTCTTCAAATAATCATTCAAAAACACTAAGATCGAGGTATTAAGAATTTCCAAATATAGGATTTTAATTTTTAGGGTTATTCAAATAGCTTAGGAAATTAATCGGTGATTCCAAGGTTCAAGTGAATCAAAATATAAGTTCTCAGGTTGTCTCCATTATCATAGTTATCCATAGTCCTTTTTATGCTTTATGGGTATTATTTTCATTCCATTCAATTATGTCAGTGGTATTACTTCCGATAAATTAGACTTCAAGGTATTCTAGTTCCTTTAGAGTTTATGGTATTTGGTCATTTGAACGTTGGATGTTATTTTAGTTATTTCGTAGCTCAAAGGCATTTCAGTAATTCAGATCAATCAAAACATATGTACCTTTTTTGGTAATTTGGTCAGATATATATGTTCAACGTTATTTTTCGCTCTTTTTGGCAGTGCAAGGGCATTTTGGTCAAATTATAATTTCAAGGTTATTTCAGTCATTTCCTTCCGTCTAGTCTTTCAATTTAATTCAAATTTTCTGAATTATTCAAACAAGAATAGTACTTTCTCTCTCAGTTCAGTCCAGACCATTTTTAACCCATAGGGGTAATTTCATAATTCTATACTCAGGTGATTCCAATATTAAACCTTTTAATGAAAATAGTTAGAATTTAATAATTCCGAGGTTATTTTCTCTTTAGGCTAATCACTGCACTTGAAATCATTTCTTTTCATTCTTTCAATTCTTTATGCAATTCAATCGAGTATTAATCAATTTATCACTTTAACTGTTTCATGTTCGATTCCATCCATAACCAAACATGCATAATAGATCAATCGTATACATCCATGCATTTATCCATTATCAACATATTCCATAAAACATACAAAGAGGTAGTAAAGTATTACCTCCATTTTCGTGCTCCACCGATCAAACATTTAAACTCCATTCAATCACTCTCGAACTTGAATTCAACGTCCAATAATTCCTCGGATACATAGCAACCAAATTTACGTCAGAAACTGAACTTAATTGAGAAACCAAATTGAATCCGAAGATAAAAAACTGAAAAACGGCTTACCGAATGTGAATTTAGAAAAACGGACTTTAGAATTGGACTCGGGATGTTGAAAAAAATAGAATTGGACTTTTAAAAAATTTTGACTTTTTTGGCCAAAGTCAA